TTGGGGGCGATGAACGCTTCCCCCGCATGATGGCCAGGGCCACCACGCGCGCGAACAAGACCTTTCTGCTGCACTTCGGATGCACACGGAGGAAGAAAGCCAGGAAGAGCCTTCGAATATGACAGTGTTCAACGCGATTATGTTAATATTAACTTAAATCAATCAAGTTACAATTTTGCAGAAGCTTTTGAAGTGATTTTAGGTATAAAAAACAGTCCAAAACTAACGATGTAAAGAATAGCAATTTTAATATTATTGAAGTTTCTGCATCATTCCCTCAGTACATAAAAAGTCTGGAAATGTATTGTAAAGAAGGCAATAATGAATATTTGTCATGTCAGTGAGAGAAACAAGAGCAAACATTGAGGCTTAGGAATAGAATCGATAGCATGGAGCTGTATTCTTGCAGACATTGGTCGCAAATACTAAATAAAAACTACTCATTCAAATAATGAACAACATACATTGAATCAAAATAAATACTACAGTATTTCGAACTAGAATGTTTTAATTGATCTTCAGTGTAGTGCAAAACAGAATAGCAAATAGAAAATGAAAATTTGAGAAGTACGTGGATGTAAAAGATTCGAATCTTATCTAAGTGAATAAGACAAGTAAGGATTCATAACGGGTAATGCGATCATCTCATCAATTTTGATGTTTCTGTTCGCATGCAAAGATGTATCAGTAAGTAAACAATGCGCTTTGAGATGTAATTTAAAAATCTTTGAAAATAAAGTGAGCAAATTAGTAGTTTATAAATTTAGATTATAAGTTTTTCTGAGATTTGAGTTTTCCACAACTAATTTGAAAATGGAACTTCATGACCTCAATATTTGAATTTTTATTGCATATTTCATCTTCAATTAACAACAAAGAATGTGTTTCCTACAATTATAACCGCATTTCGCAGATGGCAGAATTCCATTATACATCCAATTGAACTCTGGAATATTAGAATCTGAAATATCAGCAAACACAAACACTACGTAGCACGAGATCTTTCATTTGTAATCTTGTAAATTTCCTTCCTTGAAAATAATAATAAAGGTGTCATCTCGTCGTAAATATTATTTTATGAACTTACGTTCCTATAATTTTCTCGAGTGTTGTTCTCAGTGACAAAATATTTTATAACAATGTTATTTTCCAGACTTTTCATGTGCTGAGAGCTGAATTTGAAAAATAGAGTTTTGAGTACGGGTACTTTGCTTAAATACTCTTCTATCTTAACTGTTGATATGTTTAATTAAAATTTTTTATCAGCTTTATGCAACTTTAAGATGTGCTTTTTATTGTGTCTCATTGTCTGCTCTGCTATGTTTCACTTTCAACACATAGGAATGTAAGAGTTATCAGTAATAACTGCTATTGACTATTTAAGTCCCATTAATGACTGTTATTGGTGTATTCGCGTGCATTATTTATAACATGACCGCCGGGTATGGAAAGTTGATGAGGGAATTATGGGAAGGTAACGTACCTAAATCAGAAATATTCATCATTTTGCCAGGTCGTGCGAACAACTTTATAACTAACAGCTACGACAATAAATAATAGTATTAAAAATGTAAAGCAGTAAAACAATGTGACCACTAAAAGTCCAAATAAATAGAATGTTTTCCACTGTGACATGTTGCTAAGAGACATATTAAACATACTCCACCATTAATTAATTTATAACTAGTTAAATAATAATTAACGAAATAAATATGTATATTTAAAACTAAAATACATTTTCTCACTTTTTAATATTTCTTGAAGCAAACACTAGTTATAAAATAGACTTAAGAAACAAGACAAAAGTCATGAAGAAAATTTTCTGGTGAGGCTCTGTCTTTCATAGGTACACCTTATTACTATACATGTAAATTCTTAAATTCTGCGATAAAACCTGTGCTAATTACTGAATAAGGACAGGTTCGAATTAGCTTCCAATCACTCGACATAAGATCTTAGCCATACCTAAAAGTCATGCGATCTAATTGTTAGCTGTGATCCCAATGGAAGCGAATATCCCTCATTATCTAACAATTTCGGCCTTATACGATCATCTTCGTGAAGTTGTGAATATATTAATTGCTTTTGATGAAATTATTATAAGTATTAGGGTCAGTGTTGCTCATATGAAATTCCAATTCGACGTTGTCATCGGTAGGTAACAGATATACTGATTCGAGGATCTCTTAGCTAAATCTTTGCTGAAATAGAAATGAATCTGATATATATTCATAAACCTAAAATCATATAGAAGATTGTGGATGACCTCCAGATCATTCATTATAATGATATAAACTTTTTGAGCACGTTCAATTATTACACTTAGAGTGATTTATATTAAAGTGCGAAAACAATTTTGTATTGAATGAAGTATTTAATGTATGTACGTTGATTGGCATTTTTGGGTTAGCAGAGTTCTCTTGCCCTGTTTTTATTTATTATCCTCTCCTAGAGGTAAGGGAGACATGTGGCAACCGTGACGTATTCTCAACTCCATGTATAGTATACTTGCATGTCTAGGCTTTTTATTTCGTGACTCAGCTCTAGGAACTGACACGAATAGTATTAGAAAGTTACAGCGACATTTTTGCCCCGGCCACGAATCGAACCGGAGACCGCTTCACAGAAAGATAGTACACTGTCTGTGAGCCACCAGAGAGCAAATATTTAAATATTTTTATTATAAAACAGGAAAAATCATTACGAATTTATGTCTAAAGAAATGCACAGCTGGTGGACATTTAATTATTTTTCTGTCCATCATGTTCGTCAATGAACAGGAATCATCGACAGAGAGATAAATTTTTCCGATAGTAGCCGTAATTTCTATTCGGATTTCAATCTAAAGCTAGGAATATACAAGTTTTATTAGAAAATAATTATCCACGACATTTAGTGACTCAGAATGAAAGTTATCTCCATTTAGAGTAGGGGTAAAAAATGATAGACTTTTGCGAATGAACATGTAGTGGACATTTCATATAATTGAGTTACAAATGTGTCTACCCGAGTAATAAATGTGCCCCCAACTTTTAATGCACAGATATTCGGCAGGGCACTGGGTTCTGACGACACGTTAAGATGTCATGTACTTGAATTATGTATGTACATAGCGGGTTGCCTACATCATGCGTAAATACCGTACTTACAACTCTATTACTTGCATTTTTCCACTACATGTTCAAAAAGTGATCATTTTCGACTCCTCTACCTCCGTTCCTAGCATTTTTTGCAACTGTCTGCATAAATAAACGTGTGGCTACTACACACCGTTGGATAATAATATTTTTGAATTAGAGCAGTAATCACTTAGTAATGCTCATATTTAACAATTGGGAACCATTCAATTGCTAGAATCATTAATTATTTAACAAAATAAGCGACAAGAGAAAACATAAATATTAAAATATGGAGTAAACTGTCAAATAACCAGATCGTGTCTAAGAATGTAATTTATAAAAATTGATAATTAGGTAATGAAACATAACATTCCACAGAATAATAAATAGCTTCAAAGAACTTACATTTGTCCTCCTTTCCTCTCATATCACTTCCTTTCCTCTCCGCCGTGTCTGTTTCTCTCCAGCCTTTCCAATACAACTTGGGTCGCGTTTTTCTCAGTTTTATTGTGCTAGTAGCTGTGGACGATTCTTGATGGGATCAGTTGATTTGTCTTCATAAAGACCTACAACAAAGTTTTAAAATAATGTGATTGGATGTGATGTTTGCTACTATTTCTTAACTTCATTTTTATTTAGGACAAATAACAAGTATCTCTTTCAGCGTGTATACTCGTTTTGTACCCGCTTATTAATTGCCTTATTTTATTTGTTTTATACGTTAATTGTGTGGTTATCATTTAAAACTGTCATATTTTTCTTGTTATAAAGATTTTATAAGCTTCTCATGCTACATGAGCATTGGTATGCAAAACATTGTGTGATTCTGAAACTTTTCCTGCACTTTATGAATAAACGGTTATTGAAGTTTCATGTTTTGATGACATTTTTAAGATGCTATAAAATAAAATAAAATAAAATAAAAGCCGCGCACGAAAACGAAACTGAGAGCGGAAACTGAGACGGCGGCAGGCTCACACTCGGATTGGTGCGTTTCCTGGCGCGCTGTACCTGCAGTGAATTAGACAGAAAACATTGAATACTGTCTCCAATCTCAATATATTTGACCGCTCGAAGTTGATTTCCAGAATAAAGAAACGTTTCACTTTTAAAATAATGATTTACAAGATGCCAAATGTATGCACGGATCCAACTAGTAATATATTATTTGTTAGTTATTTTTTTAAAAACTGTATTTGTCACTATGTGTCATGTCATTTGAAACTTAATTCATTACTAATT